GAAAATAAATTACAGTTTAAAAGAAATTTAGAAACACTCGATCCTAAAACTATAAAAAATGATTTAGTGATGACCGAGTATACAACGAACTATCCTCTGTCGCTAATACAATTAATTTTGTAAAAAATGGAAACTTCTACGCAGGAACTCTAAACTTAAAGGATATTCAACAAATAGTATCCAATGAAGCTTTATACTCACCTTTAATAAACATATTAGAATACTCTGACATACATGTCTGCTACTTTAACCACGCAATTGTAACTGTATAGAAATATCCAATATTAAAAATAAAATGTAACTTGTTCAATATATGCCCACTTGCATACAAACATGGAGAGATATTACTAGATTCTAAGATAGCAATATGTAACAATGTCTTTGCACCTATTGAAAAATATAAAACTATGTTGGGAACTATATATGTTACAATAAATTAAGAACTCAGACAATTTCCCTATTAACATATTAAAAAATAAGCCTGCCAAATGTGAAGTGATACACGAAAACAACGCACCACTCCAAGTACTTGAAAACGGAAATATCATAACAGATTACAACCACACCTAGAACGAAGTGTTCTCTCAATAAATCCATTGATTGATGCGATGTGGGGTAAGTGGAACTGTCTTGTTAAAACCAAATTTCGCCGAGATCACGAGCTTCCATTTCAGGCATCAAGTAGTCTGTTATCCTGGCGCGATAAAGGTCGCCATTGACGATTACGTTCTCACCGGCACAGTTTTGCTGGTTTACGTACCCATTGAGCCATAAAGTGGCCTCAACGCTGAACAAAATTTGGCTCGAAAACGTCGGATATTCTTGGAACTTTTAAGACCCTATAGAGCAAAGAGATGTCGCTTGCTCTGCAAAATACCCGTCTACGGCTGTAATAGCTTATTCATTCGACGAAAAACGCTTTCCACGAAAAAAAGTAAGTCGATTACTCGCACAGAAAAAAAGTAATTAAGGTTTATTTCTGTAGCACGATTCGGCCCCACCCTATGCCTTAGAGGCACTATGCGTGTAAGGTTTTATTCCAATACATTTATTGGCGCTTCGGTAATATACTGAAAAGTGGAAAAATCGTATGGTATGTAAAATGTTACTATAAACATAGTGATAGCTTTTATAACAAATGTTATTTTAGAAATATGTGTGTATTTAAAGGAAGTAATAACTTTTTCGGAGTTTGTATATTTGACATCTGTTACTTGATTTATACTCAGTTTGCTTTGCCATTTCATAATGTATAGACTTAGTCCGGAACAACGTTTGTAAATCGCACACATTTCTTACCGGTTCGGTTCGTGCAACGCTCTCTCGTTCCAATATTCGGTCATCATATTCGCCTAGCAGAGTTAGTGATTCGAGCAACCCTGGATCGGTTTAGCAACATGTTTACTCTCATGGATAATGCGGATCCTCAGAGATACCGTACAATACGCACCGAATACCAGGGATTAAGGGATAACCAACTTGTTCCAGTGTGAAAGCGCCTCAAAATTTAATTTTTTTATAAGATTTTCCATTGTAGCCGGATCAAACAAAATAATAATAATTTGGCATTTAAATTAAAATATCCAAAATTTATTATGATATATAATATTATACACATGTATATCCGTTAAACATATGGAGAAACTATTTAAATTTTTTTTGTGATTTTGCGATATATTAACACAACTGATTTTTAAACTTTTAATATTAAATAAAGTGAATAAATGTTTTAGCTCTAAGCTCATAAATGCTGTTTTTTCATTTGCAATTGAGAATTAATTTTGCTAAATTTTCATGAGTTTTTGACGTTTAGCAATTGCTAAGGCTTGACAGATGAGTTGGACATTTCTCTGTCTCTGCTGAATTCGCTATTGCTACTGTAGAGCGAAATATCGAAAAAGTCCCGAATGAGTTATTCTCAAGCTTGCTTTGTTAAGACTGTATAAATTGAAATTGACACTTTTTATGCTTGCACAGTATTTTATTTAGCGGCTTTTCCTAAAACTAATATATTGAATTTCACTTGTCACAGCTTCTCTCTATTGCTGCGTTTTTTATAAGAAAAATGCTGAAACACGAGTGAGTACGCGATCCACCGCTTCGGCGTTCTGAAACGTAATTTTGTCGTTCTCTTCTTCCAGTTCCCGAATATCAGCCCTATTCTAAGAAAACCTCACAACTATTTGTTAGGTTTATTTTGTGAGGTTATTCTTGCTTGAACCTCATAAGGAAAAGTCATCACATGATGTGAAAAGCATTGTGCTGTCAAACAGCTATTTCATAAAAATAAACCATGCAAAATAAAGAAATGAATAGTCAATAATAGTAAGTAATTTCGCAAATTTAATAATTTTAATGTCGATTTGTCGGTACTCGGTTTAGCGACCAACAAGAAAAAGACATCAACAATTTTCAAAGAAATATTAACTATTGTACATTAATGTTTTGTATTTTTCCTTTTCAATTAAGTGTTATAGCAGGGCAATTTCGTTGAAGAGGATGATATTCCTATTTCATCGTTAATCTACATACACACTACAATACATTGGCAATAAGGAATGGAGTAAAATTGTTCAACTTGGCTTTTCCAAATGTAAATAACGATAAATTATATGCTTAGACCTTTTTAAATAAATATTTTTTTTTAACATTTGAGGACTCAATTCTAAGTCAGGGTTGAACAAAATTACATAGAAGATTCCGATGGGGTTAATTATAAAGTTGAAAGGAATGGCGAAATTGATAATAAATACCCAAAACTTAAACATAAAGGTGCAGAAAAATGTTGAACAATGTACACAATGGTCAAAGCAGAAAAATGTCGATTGTATTGACTGAAGAAGCCATCAAATGTAATCTTAGTATTCCAACGAAACAAACGACGATTAATCAATTTTTAATTAGGTATAGAAACTTATATTACTGATATAAACATTTTTTAATCTCATTTTCTTTTTAAGCACATTACGTTCTTTAGGGTAACATGCATAAGCGCTTTGAATTGTTCCTTTTTGGTTTTTTATTCTTTTACACATAATTCAATAAATAATGTATTAAACAAAAATTCTCGGATTTTTTACTCATTTTTATTGAAAAATATACCTCGCTGAGTAAGTACTCAAATTAATGAAAAATTCGATAAAGCGAACCAGCCCGACAATTAATGTGTTCGTTATTTCGGAATACAGCTGTATAATAATTTTATTTACTTTTAGGCTTACAAAATGTTGTTTTATTTCACTATATTCATCGCTTCTTCACTATTTTAAAAATCTATCGTATCTACATAAATGTGTGTGTGTTATATGATATCGATTGTTTTAAATGTATCACTCAATGAATGTGCATGTTTCTTAATACTATAAAAAAGGTCTTAAACTAGCTAAATATGTTTGTATTGTTAAATGTTGAATGCATGGGTATTGCATGCATACGTTTCATTTGTGTTTGTCTTATATTGTCTCGCATTGTATGTGGTATTGTAATAGCCAGGATTACATATTTTCGAGTGAAGAATTTAGTAAATCTTTAAGAATGCTATTATTACATATTACATATATTGTACATATGTATATTTATATATATACATTCATCCATTTCTAGCTTCCCTCCTTTTTTTTAAGAAAAAAACACAGCAAATTCAAATTTAATTGGGAATGCTTACTATCATTCGAAAGAACATTCTTTGGCAGTTGTTTTTTGAAGATTATCGCTTTCAAATGTTGGCCGCGGCTACGTCTCAGATTGTCCATCCGTTGAGTCCAATTTTCGATTACTCGTTCGAGCATTGAGACTGGTAACTGGCGAATGACACACGCGATGTTTTGCTCCAAGGCCTTAATCGAAGCGGGATTGACTGCATCGACTTTTGACTTTATATATCTCCACAGGAAAACGTCTAACGATGTGATATCACACGATCTTGGCGACCAATCGACCGGCTAAAAATGTGAAACTACCTCCTAACCGAAGTGTTCTCTCAATAAATCCATTGATTGATGCTATGTGTGGGAAGTGGAGTCGTCTTGTTGAGACCAAATTTCGCCGAGATCACGAGCTTCCATTTCGGACATCAAATAGTCGGTTATCATGGCGCAATAAAGGTGGCCAATGACGGTCACGTTCTTATCGGCGTCAGTTTTGAAGAAATATGGACCGATAATTTCACCGGCCCACAAACCATACCAAACCGTTGTTTTTTCTGGATGAATTGGCAGCTCTTGAATCTCCTCAGGTTGCTCTTCGTCCAAAATGTGGCAATTTTGCTTGTTTACGTACCCATTGAGCCAGAAATGGGCCTCATCGCTGAACAACATTTGGCTAGAAAACGTGGGATCTTCTTGGAACTTTTAGCCCATAGAGCGAAAGTATGTCGCTTGGGAAGGTTGAGCGGTTTCAGTTCCTTCACAAGCTGTATTTTGTATCGACTCTCCACGGTCTCCATGGACACTCTCAGCTACGGCAGCTATATTTTCTTCACTGCTTACTGAATGAAGTGGTCTATTCGGTCGAATATTATCCAATAATGAAAGCTGGGTCTCAAGATGGGTGGTGGTGCTGCGAATAGTATGCTCCGTAGGCCGATTATGTTGCCCATTAGTTTAGCGAAGTGCGCGAAACACATTCTTTACAGAAGGTGAATTTTCGTAATAAAGTTGAACGTAACGTAAACGTTCAGGCGCAAGTCTTTCTATAATGAGATGCCGAAGAACACCGAAGAAAATTATTATGACAACTTGACACGACTCATACGTGATCTGTCCAAAAAAGGCTATTGAAAAAAGTACCTCTACTTGGATCACCTGTTATAATAAAATAACTGAGTTATTGAAGCATAAATATCTTTTTATTCGCAGATGTAATAAATACATGCATGCATACTGTTTAATAAAAGGCAGCACTAAGCTTAAAAACACGTCTGTTTATTGCGGCGAATCAAAGAATAAGAGAGCTCCTATTGGAATAGTACAATAGTTAAAGCAAATAACTGAAGTAGAAAATAATATGAAATAAAAATAGAAAATAAGTCTTAACACTAGAACTAGCGACGATTGACGTATACGTACTTCTACAGGAGGGGTCAAAATGACTTGTTTCTTAAATTACTAAAAGACATATAAGAAAATACAGCAATTTTTAAGTTTTTATATTATATACTTTGTAATTTTATGAACAAAACTTGAATATAATCTGAATAATAATAGTAATATAATAGCAGTAATTTTTTAAATAATTATGCATAAGAGTCAAAAACATTTTTTGCAAGTTACAGATATTTTAGCAGAACATTTACCACAGGCTCGTTTATGGCATATACCACGAATGTTGTTCGTTTTATTATTAGTGCACTGTGCTTTTTGACACCTTTTACGTTTCATCGAAATATGTGTCTAGTTTTGTGACGATATAGATGATGATATGCCTTTTACTTGATCTGTGGATCAACCGGTCAATTCTTTGTAGTAAATTGCAAGTTCTTCGGATAAATGGAATAAAAAGTCTATTCTTGAAATTATTCCGGCAAAATCTAAAATATTGTAAAACACTTGTAATGGCCATCTTTGGGATCCAGCTATTTCCGAGTATATTTCCGAGCCATTTGATTCGTAACATCTACGCCAAATTTATTACTGTTCTAAGATGTAATCGTTCCAGGTAAACGTTTATCATCTTTTTGAATTTTCACTGACTTATGTTTTGAACTGAGCACTTATACTTTTTTATTGGGGTTACTCTTATATATGATCAGAGTATATTTTTCTGTTTTATAAAGTACTGTCGAGAAACGAGACATGTTATCCTTTTTTGTAACTGTTCTTCCGCAACTAATATATGGATCTATAAATTTTAGGACGACAAATTCACCTAAAGGTACGGATAATCTCTTTTCGTCCTTTCCTAAGTAGGAAAATGCATTTACAACATATTTACTTTTTACATCCGACGCCAACCAGAATTTTATATCAAACTTTTTTTTTGCTTCGTATGCACCACGAGTATATAAAATTAATATAAACGCATTCAACTCTGCTAACGATACAGTCCAGTCATGGTTATTCAGAATTCGATGAGCATCTGCTTCAGTGCAAATTTTTATAAGTCTCATAACAACACTATTGCAGAGTATCAAAGAAAATGCTGTTCTTACACTACCTTTCATAATATGTCTTTTCGCGTATGCCGTCGGTCCTGACATTTCTTTGAAAATGTTGAGTACTGATAATCTTCCTGGTGTTGAGCCCTCTTTCAGTTTTTTCCACATAGTGCCGTCAACAGATATTTCAGTATCTTGATCGATTTCAGACATTTCAACATCCTGATCACTTTCACTTTCAGAATTAGAAAAAACTTGGACTCTTTTACTTTTCTACGCAAACGTCGAAGTATTTCCTCTTCACTGTCGGTATCGGATGACTCGCTTGGACTTTCGTTGTTTAATGGAAGGTATTCATTTTCATTTTCAACTAGATCACTTTCATCATACTCTGTATCGGAACAATTTTCTTCGAAATTATTTATTTCTTTCAATAATTTACTGCTTCGTGAAATTTCAGTTTGCGTAATGATATACTTCTAAAACTTTACAAATATTTTCCGATATAGTTAGGATGAGGTTACAGCAAATATAGTTGTACTGAGAGTTGTGTTTCAAGGTTTCTGATAGACGACTGAGTTGTATATGGCAGTGTTTCTGATCTACTGAGACCAAGCGCACACTCATCTATACTAATATTATAAAGCTAAAGAGTTTGTTTGTTTGAACGCGCTAATCTCCGAAACTACTGGTTGGAATTGAATAATTCTTTTTGTGTTGGATAGTCCAGTTATCGAGGAAGGCTATAGGCTATATAACATCACGCTACGAATAGGAGCAAAGATATAGTGGTAAATGTGTAAAAAACTGGAGAAATTATTTCATCTTTGAAGCCTTCCGTTGCGTGCGCCGTGAAAACGGTTCAAGATACACAAAAAATATGTATTAAAGAATAATAGCTCTTTTAATGATCTAAAAAACAGTCCGCGATAGTATATGTCTATCTTTTAAGATTAACTCACAAAAACCGTTTTTATGGTACCTAATTTGGTCGAAATAATTTGTTTAAGTTGTATCAACATAATAATATTAATCTTTATTCAAATAAATATGTTGTTGGTTAAGAGTACTTCATTGTGAATAAAATTGTCTTTGACATAACTTAATTTCAACAAAAAACTTTAAAGATTACAATGATAAATAACTTCGAATCGAAACCAACTCGCTCTCTGCGCTGGCCGGCGCGGCGGGAGAGAAGCGGTACTTGCGGGCAAGCCGGGAGGGGGGTGTAGCTCAACGAGATACCATGCCGCGCGAGTGAGTCGGCTCCCTACTGAACGGTTGAATGCAGCGCTAATTTGTTTATGCGATATAATTATCATCGTAATATTACTTTTTAAACACAGTTTCATTTTGTAGTTGTTTTCTATATAGTAGGTACTTTATTTGTTTTAGGATAGTATTTAGTTACACAATAATAACACTTTTTTGTTTTCATGTAGATTATTAATTTATAAGTATGTGTTTTTTTATAAGTATAGTATTGTTTGTTTTAAAAATAGTATTTAGTTTCTAATATTTTTTTTTTTTGTGGTACATAATACCTGTAGGTACCTAAATAGGTGTCGCCTACTTAATTATTCTTATTAGATTAGGGTTTAGTTTAACGTATTTAGTTTCTAATTTTTTTTTGCTTTAGATAAAACCTGTAAATAGGAGTGGTCTACCTATTTATTCTCATTAGATTAGGGTTAAGTTTAAGCATAAAGTTAGTTTACCTTATTTTCATTTTACGGTTGTTCTTTTGACATAATCGTTAAAAATAAAAGTAATTAGGTTCCTAATTATTAATCTTCTTAATCTTACGTTTCTTTTTTTTTATTACGAGATACGCTTTAGTTAAGTTTTCATTTTCTACGTTTTTTCTTCATCACTATAATGCCGAGAAAAAGAACTCAGCTTTCTCGGCAGACTGCTACTGCAAAGCGGCTGCGAGTTTTGCGCAGCAATGAAACTGAGGATGAAAATATGCACAGGTTGGCTACACGACGAGCAATTACTGAACAAAACCGTGTAAGGGAATCAAGCGTTGAACGTTCGCAGCGTTTAGCCTCACAAAATTTCCGAACTTTGGCGAACCGGCAACGGGAATCGAGTGCTGATCGTTCTCAACATTTGGCTTCACAGAATGCCCGACACTCTTTCATTAAAGCAATATATTTTTTACGTAATAGTGTATCGGCCGAGTCGGCCAGTCGATGCTCCAAACGGTCGAATTGTCTTTAGGCACTGCCATAAGAGTCGCCTAGGGGTGATGCGTTAGCTTGCATTAGTAAGCGCACCATGTAACGCCCTCCATATGTTCGTGAGTGAGTAATTGAGAATATTCGCTCTCATTCACTCGAAAGTTGTGCATGTGGTTCGTTAAGATCACTCTTGATAGTGTCTCCTTTCAAAATGAGACCCTAGATGTCAGCTTTTAGAGAACAGTCCAGCCAAGTGTTTATACTGATTTCCAAAGGTTTGAGCTGTTGGAAGCACTGAGGTAATAGATTTTATGACGAAAGCATGAAAACCACTGAATATTGCGAGTCAGTTGACTTGAGTGTATATTTCCTCCGAATTGTCCCTAGAAACATATACACACGTTGTAGCAAGAAGTATGATCTGGTTGCCCCAATCATGGCATTCAATTACAGAATCGTGGTGTTATAACGTTGCTTGAGTCGGTACTAACGGTAGATCGGGCTGCGGTTTAGTAATTGTCATAATTCCCACTCTCCTCGTGGCGGGAAGCGAAACTGAGTGCTGTGGTTTTCGACAAAAAATGATGATGTGCCTGCGGCCACATTGGCGACATCCTCTAGAGGGACACTGTTTAAACATATGCCCTGACCTCAAGCAGTTAAAGTAAGGTGGTAAGTCAACTTAAGTTGGACAACGCTTAACCTTATGAAGGTATTCACAATACTGACACTTTGCAATTTCCAATGAATGGTTGTATTTGACGATACGCGCGGTTAAAACGCGCTTATGTGAAGGGCGGGATACTGTGTTGGGGCTATTTGCGACCCGAACAAGGTTGTTGACAGACTTTGAGCCCTTTTCTCCAATAATTTCAATAAATTCGATAAGCTTGACAATTCCGTTAGAGAGCAGTGCATGTACCGTTCGTACTTTATTGTAAGAGGGAGCTTCGATACGATGATAGGTACAGTTAATGCATCCCACTTTTGAACTGTTAAATTCATAAGAGCTGACGAATGCAGAGAGCTGCTTACTACATCCACAATATTCAGCAGTTAATGCGCTGACTCCTCTGATGCCAAAAGTTTAGGAAACGCACAGCATGAATTTCCGCCGACTGTCTGGGGGTATAATGCCATTTTTTCACAGCTGCGCATAGTTCCAGTTAACCTACAGGATAAACATCACCAACTAACGGCACTGATGAGCAGGGAACAACTTCTCGCAACTTACCGAGTTTATATGCGGTGAGCAATTCTCGGTTGTGCACTAAAATCTCGAACGCGTCCTTAAATGCCAACTACAATAATTATGCAACGCGCCATCAAATGATGGAATATGCAAAGGCTATTCACGCAAAGGATTTGCATAGTGGAAAGTGAAAGAATCAGGTGGAACTTAAAATGGTGTTATATGGAAAATAGGCGTGGTTGTAATCTGATTTCACCTATTTTCGCTCTATAACATACAAATATAAAAGCAATATTATGTACCGAATTTTATTGAAATCTGTTTAGCAGATTCCAAGATATGGGCGGTGCCACGCTCACGGTCTAATTTTGAGCGCGGTTCCTATAAAGTCATCTTAAACCATCCCAGAGATAAAATGTAATGTCTCTGGCGTGTTTAGAGTTTGGTTTATCGCGCTTTTAATATTTTAACAGTACCTTTATATGCGGAATGGGCGGGGGCCGTCGATAGGGGTGCTAAAAAAATTTCTCCTCTACAACTGAAAGAGTTTTCCATACAAGCACTTGATTCCAACCGCTCAGTTAATATGGTAGCTATATGCTATAATGATCCGATCTAAACAATTTCTCCGGAAGTTGCATTATTGCCTAAAGTAATAATCCATGCCAATCTTAGTGGAGATACCTCGTCACATAAAAGAGTTTTCCATACAAAAACTTGATTCCGATTGTTCAGTCAGGACAGAGAAATGGACAGGTGCAAAATTTCAGATCGATAGCTTAAAAATTGACGGAGTAGTTCGTATATATACAGACAGATGGACGGACATGGCTTAATCAACTCAGCTCATCATGCTGATCATTTGCGTATATATGTTATAGGGTCTCCGATGTTTCCTTTTGGGTTACAAACTTCGTGGCAAACTTGATATAACCTGTTCAGCGTACAACAAGCATGATTATACAAAAAAAAAAATAAAACCATAACAAAATCATATCGCAAGTAAAAACAGTTTACACAAAAGAAAATTTGAAAAATCATATAAAAAACAATTAATGACTGATAATAAAAATCAAAATAGGAGCTACACGCTCAAAACAGGTTGCTAAATTTATTTCAGAAAGTGACAGGTCAATAATATACTGCACTTGATTTTCATCTTCCCCGGTTCAAGACTACTCCGAATCGGTACTAGATATCAAAATTAAAAATCTCGACAATTTTTGTACACGTCTCCAAGCGGCTCATTATGCCATAGTAAAAACTGAGTCATCAGATCTACTACAACATTTTAAAACGTGGGCATTCACCAATAGTTCGCCTTAGACCAGTATGAAGCAACAAAGGATTTGATCTCCGACCAATTTAAGCAATTACACCTACTCCACATCTGTTCAGGCATCCATCTCGAGGTGTCCACATGTGACACAGGAATATTAAATGGAAGTTATGAAGATTGGCCGTCATTTCGGGACATGCTTACAGCCGTATATATCAAACTTCCAACATTTTCAAAAGCGCAAAAATTGTATCACCTCCGATACAAAACTAAAGGTCAAGCTGCCGCGTTAGTAAAACAGTTCGCACTAAATGACGATAATTTTAATTTGACAAGCTGTAAAATCTAGAAATGAAAACAAAAAAATATTGGTTGATCAACAAGTAATGAGGCTAAAAAACTTGCCTAAAATTCAAAAAGAAATTATCAAACTTCAATCCACTGTGGCTAGATGAGTCACGTCTCCCTCTCCACGCACGCCACTGAGCGCCAACACACCACATTAACACAATCCACAAAAAGACTCCAACCACTAACACATACAAACATACACTACCACTGCAGACATCACACCACGCAGACCACCCACACATACACATCACATCACACCACAACTCTACACTACCCAACTATCAACTCTGCCTAAGAGCGAGCTCGACCCCTTTTTTCTTTTGGACATCAAACCGACCGCAGCGTTCGTCGTAGCATCACCCTTAACACAACGTTCGTCATAGTATCACCGCGGAGTGGAAAAAAAACAAAAACGAAAACAAAAATATATAATATTGTATATAGATATAATATTATATATATATATAATATTATATATATATATAACTTAAGTGAATAAAAGTGCTGTGAAGTGACTTAGCGTTCATATATTATATACACATAAAAAAGAACATATAAATATATAACAAGTGACTAAAGAGTACTACGCAGTGGAGTAACATACATATACACATAGAAAACACAAAAAAAAAGGGTTAAAAAAGTTAATTTCAACAA